GGCAAGCCGGCTGGTCTGTGGGCAGCCAGCTCCCTGTGGGCCCTCGGATGTTAAAAGTGGAGATCCCGGTGCCATGTTGGCACTTAGCAAAACGTATCGCTACTTAGAGTCATAATCTTTTATGGACTATTTTATTATTAACTGTAAATCTTTTTGTTCTGAAGCCCCGGGCTGTTGACCCTACAGCCCAGGCTGCCTAATGCCTGGAGTTGCCCAGTCACGTATTTTAACCTGTAGATTTTCTACAGAAACACACATTTAATCTCCATTTCATGTTTATCCAGAGAATAACGTTGAATAGATAAGTTTATGCCTTTTTTAAGTAACACAAAGGCTGGCATCCAGTGTGCACTCTCAATAATGGTGTGTTGGGCAGTCCTAAACCAATACATTCTAGATGCTACTTCTGAATGTGTACTGACTGTGTACACGAATCAGCTACGTCTTCCAGGGAACCTGTTATTGTGCAGGGCTGACAGGGGTATGTTGTGGTAGATGGTGATTTGTTCCCTAAGTGACAGATCCTCTTCACCCCTTCCCCCCACTAACCTTTAGTTTAAACCTGCTCCTTTACCAACTTTTTAACCAAATATATTGATCATAGATCAATTTTTTAAATATATTTTATTTATTTTTTTATAGAAAGGAAGGGAGAGGGATAAAGAGGTAGAAACATCCATGAGAGAGAAACATCGACCAGCTGCCTCTTGCACACCCACTGCTGGGGATGTGCCCGCAACCAAGGTACAAGCCCTTGACTGGAATCGAACCTGGGACCTTTCAGTCCGCAGGCCAACGTTCTATCCACTGAGCCAAACCGGTTTCGGCCATAGATCAATTTTTAATAGTGTTTGCCCTTTTCCACTTCCTTGACTCACTTTTTTATGGAGAGGCTTTTTCGTAGTAATATGACTCAAGTTCAGCAGAGTCAGGAAGTGAGAGGTTGCAACATGCACAAACTGGCTCCTTTTGTGGAAGAAGTGGTAACTGAGGACTGAACAGACGTGTGTCAGAGACGACTACATTGTGAAGCTGTGTTTCATGTATTTTTCTTCCTGGAAGATTCAGACTCGGCTCACCCTGTGCCTTCCTTCCCCACCACCTTTCCCCACCCCTCAGGCACTGCAGCCTGAACGGGGTTCCGGCTTCATCCCCTGCAAAGTTGGGCAACTGCTGAGACTGGGTGACCCGCACAGGGAAAGGAGCTTAAGGAACATCATCCCAGCGCTAAACATTGCATCACTCGGCACTAAGTTGCAGGGTGGTCTCCTGTCCTCAGAGCATGGGCACCAGAAAGATGACCAGTGTTGTTGGGGATCTAAAGCCATTGAGCAAGCCCATGCTTCATAGGGCATGCTCTGGGTTTGGTCTCTCCTCCTTCTCTTCCTGAGGCATGGATGCCAATCTAGGCGGTCGTAGTGCCACCATGAGCTTTATATTTGTGTTGAGTTAGAGATTGGCCAACACCTCATGGCCTCATTACCCTACCCTTCTCATTTGGGCTTCATAATAGCGAGGAGCTTGCCCGCAGGAACAGTGGGTACAGGCAGTGGAGAAGGGTTAGCATTGCAAATTGCCCCATCCCCGGTGTTGTGGGAATATTCGAAAAGTGGAGCATCCCTTAACTTCTAGAGAGAAGTAAAGACTAAAATTATTTTCACTTGTTCAACTTCTCAATTGATACAGTCTTCCTTCAGTGTCCCAGGATCCTGCTTACTGAAGTGGCTGCTCCCATCCTCCCTCAACCCTCCTGCCCCCTCCTTCCCTTTGTTTTGTCCGTTCCAAGCATCATGAGTCTGTGTTGTCCATGAGTTGCCTAGATGCTAAGAGACCACACAGAGGCAGCTTAGCGGGTGAGAGTGCACACTGGATGCCAGCCTTCCTAGATTCAAATGCTGGCTCCGCTCATAGCACGGACAGCTATCTAACTTCGCTGTGCCTGAGTTTCTCCACTGTACAAAATACAGATAATAATAGTGGCAGCTACACCATAGGGTCCTTAAGTGAAGTTAATACACACAGAGCACCTTGGAACAGTGTAAGCAATACTAGTGTTCCTGTTTACTGTAGATGCACTAAGAACTTTAATATGAAATGTCTTATTTAACACAGATAGCACCCTTATAGAGATGGTATTTTTAAACCTCTTTCCAATGATTAAACTGAGGCTAGAGAGAGTATTGATTTGAAAAAAGGTCACTTGACTGTAAGTGGCCAGTATGGCATTCAGCCTCAGATCCTTCCAATTCCAAACTCCGTGTAACCCATTGCACACCCACCTCCCGGACTGAGTGGACATGAACTCGGAGCTTTGCAGCTGTGGCTTCTGCAGCACAGTTTCCTGGTCATCCTGGCCAGGCCAGCCCCCAAGGTAGCTCTGCACCCCTCCCGTCCTCAGCACTAGTCATGTGACAGTTCCCTTTCACCTGTGCACACAGACCTCTTTACTCTCTGTGATCTGTTCCCAGGCCTGGCATAGTGTAGGCGCACACTCACGGTTAATGTGAACCCGAGAGAATGAGGGCAATGTTTCTCTGTGGCAAGAAGGGTGACAGTCTTGATGCCTTTAGGGGGACCTTCTTGCGACTTATGGAAGACTCCACATATCAGACCAAACAGTTCCCCATGGGCTCCCCTGGACTCTCCGATGTCATAACTGCCACAGCCAGCGTGACAGTAACAGGCAGGCCCACTGCCCGCTCTTCACCCTGTGCCCAGGCCCAGCTTGTGGTGTGTCCATGTGAACGGTCCACTGTCGCCTTCTGTGGAAGCTTCAGAACTAGGGAGGTGGGACTGAGAAATCTTACACTCTGGGTTTGACCAACAATCCTCCAACGTCTCTACATCTTCACCAGTAAAAGTGCTCTAACTCTCAACAGTTTTCTTCATGAAATATTGAAGCTTTACCTCGTCCCTCCAGTAGTCAGCTGACCCTTCCAAATCAGGGCAACCCTTCCTTCATTTATTTTATTCAAGGAAACGGCACATCTTGCCATTTTGTGAGGCATGTTTCATTTCTGCACTCCTTCAGGTAGGCAGATGCAAATAACAAACAGCCCACATTTCTGGAGCACTTACTGTTTGCTGGGCACTGGGAAAAGCATTTTCCATGGAGGGTCTTGATGGGTCCTCACAGCTCCTCTGCGAGTGTTCCTGCCATTTTAGAAGCAAGACGTGCAGGCTCTGAGAGTTTAATATTTGTGCAGGGTCACACAGCTCTGAGTGGGGGAGCTGGAGTCCAAACACAGAACTGCGTCATCTCACGTGCATGTTCTTAGACTCCATGCTGCATGGCCTTTCCCTTTCAGTGTATGAATCGTTTACAGGTTACGAGATGTTCAGCATAAAATGGTGTGTCTCCCCATTCCCCAATGCTTGCTAGCCTACAACCAGTTTGTTGTTAAGCCTATTAAATTGTCTTTGTGTAAGATATAACTAAAAAGAAGCATCGATCAGATGCTCAAACCTCAGAGGGAAGGTAGGGGAGGGTGGAGGCTGTGAGGGAGATCAACCAAAGGACTTGTATGCATGTATATAAGCATAACCAATGGACACAGATGCCAGGGGGGTGAGGGCATAAGCAGGAGGGGGGAGGCAATGGGGGGATAAGAACACATATGTAATACCTTAATCAATAAAGAAAGGGGGGGGGAGATAAAAATAACAAAACAAAAAATGTATGCAACACAACACTGCATTAAACCTAGCCTAACTGTTCGGTAAAACTATATGTTTATTAATGTATGTTTTACTTTTTGAACATATTTATGTCTTTCATTTTATCTTACTGTCTCCTTTATAACATTTAATAATAGCAACCATAGCCTTGCGGCGTTTTTTAGAAAGCAGCACCTATCATGGAATCCTAGGTTTGTGTGCCCTCAGATCTTTTCTTTCCTGTGATCTGTGGGTTTGCAGGGGGCCTGATCCCTGCGGGCTGTTTGGCTTCTGGGATGGTACAGCCAATCAGAAGCCCTGATGGGAGTGGGGCTTAAGGAAGAGCTAGGGTGTTTCTCTGTCTTCTGCAGCAGCTGCGCCTTCCCTGTGGCCCCGGCTCCCATTTATCGCCTCAGGGTGGAGGTGGCCCGCCAGCTTTCCCTATCTCTGGCTGGCTTTGCTGCTCCCTATGCATTGCCCACCACCTGTGTACCCAGTTCCCTCAATGAAATTGTCCCTGTTATAAGTAGGTATTGCCAGTTCTTAGAAACTGCTGGATACTCCAGCATTCTCGCATGTGATCACAATACTTCTTTACAGTTTATGTTGGAGGCATGGAAGATGGATGGTGTCAGCGGGCTTTGTGCTCACTGTGGCTGTGGTGTCAGTGGAAACCCTGCCTGGGTGTTTGTGTCCCTGGTTCCAGCCCCGGTACTGAGAATCACTCAAGTCAGGGCCTTAGGTTCATGGAAAATGAAGGCACTCCCGGTATCCTTCCAAACCAAGACAATCCTAAGACGCCTCTCCGTATCTGCGGGGACCATCGAGGTGTCTCCTTCAGTGAAACAGCCCCTGGCTCCAGCCATCTGCCCTGCTAAGGCACACTGTTGATCCCCAAGGGATCAGGTGCCAGCATGAGGGTGAGCCAGGGCAAGCCTATCGCCACGCTGGGAAGAACCTTGGACAGGCCTTTCTGATTCTTCCTTTGAGCTTAACACACTCACAGAACATATAACACAACCATAAAATTCAGTGCTCAACTGTCCTGCCTGCCGGCTTAACCATCTTTCAAATACAATATGTCATATATTTACCTGACATAAAAACTAGCAGCAGAATGCGCACATGGGACTTGTCTGATGTAATATACTTTCTCTGTTTTAAGCACAATCTTCTTATGGTCTCTGAACACCATTTTAAAAAATACATTATCCAGTATTTGGATAATGTGTGTGTGTGTGTGTGTGTGTGTGTGTGTGTGTGTGTGTGTGTTTGGGGCTGATGCTCTAGTAACTTCAATAACTTTAATTTACTAAACTTCACTCCTCCTCCCCGACCCCCAGCCCTTTCTTTTCAGAAGATACATTTAGACAATCACCGTTCTCCTCCAATTCAAAAGACCTGCTGCCCAGCGACGCCGCGCTCCACACGAGAATACCAGCGCCAGGTATGGAAACGCCGTTGGCTTTGTTTTTACTATTGATCGTTTAAAAATTACCTTTCAGAAACGTGTGAATTTTCAGAAGCTTTCAGTGAACGTGTTGATCTTCACATGTGTTATTCATATGAAGAAGCCGGGTTTTTAAAAAGAGGGAGGAACTCAATTTCAGCAGCTACAAAAGTTCATTAAAGGAAAATGCAGACGGTGAGAAAGCTCTTCGTCTGCTTCAGCGGCTCATTGTTGTTTACCTGCTGGTGTTTCGTTCGTGCAGCGACGTTCTTAATCTTTGAAATAGCGGAGTGTAACCTGAAAATAATTTGCTTTTCACGTTGTCAGTTTTTCAGGGAGACAGCCGGGAAGGTAGGGGAGGGAGGTGGCCCAGGCGGGACAGGTCAGGACCCTGTGGGGCGTGGGCCGCTGCAAAGACCGCTTCAGTTTCTGTGGAGACAAACTTGCCCCCAGATTTCACTCTACTTAGACTGTCTGCTTACATCCATCTGCCGCACCTTTTTGCCATTTGAGCATCAGTACATAATTTCTTATCTACTCTTCCTCTTTCCTTTCCAGAGTAAAAAGAAAGATGTGTTTGTTGTCCCCTTATCAACAGCATGATCGTCCTCAGAGCTGCTGGGTGTCCTCCGAGGTATTATGAAATGAGGACATTTGAGAACCTCTGCCCTGCAGCCTGTACGCCTTACTCACCCCACCCCACCCCAACACCTGCTGTGGTTACCTTCCTCCCAGCTACAGGGAGAACCTCAGAAGCTCTCGGCGGCCTCCACTCCGTCCAGGAGAGCGGTGGGAGCCCATGGCTCGGTGCATGTGCAGGGGGGTCTAGCAGCAGGGGTGTTGGCCGGGAACCCCTGCAAAAATAAGTCCAGGTGTCCTCCACACAGCCAAGGAGCCGGTCACATCACAGATATCTGGAGATCTGAGTAGTGTGCAATTCTGAAAGAGCTAAGCAGCATCTTAGAAACGTTGGCTTGGGCATCACAAGTCATCGGAAAGGGTGTCTAACAGGCAGTTGGGAAAGGGCAGCTTTGTTGCCCTTCAGTCTTGTGATGATAGACCCATTTCTTCCCATCTGCAAAGAGTCCAGGCAATCCACATGCTGTTTAGCTCCACAGGACTTTTCAGTCCAATCACCATAAATAACACACGTCCCCAAAAACACATTACCTGACACCCGGTTCCAGGGGTGGAAGGAAATTCCGCTTAGTTGATGTCTTCATTCTCAAACAGGCCTTTCGGAACTATTGTTTACTTCCCACAGTGTCCTTTTGAATAGCCATCTCCCTGGTCCCCAAATTATCGTCCTGCTGTTAAGTTGATGGATTGTGACTTTCTAATGTCAAAATAACTGCCTAGGAATTGCTGGTTGGAGTGCTGTTACCCATCCAGCCCGCACCCGTGATGGATGTGCCAGCCCTGCATTGCGGCCTCGGTGTTGGGTTTGGTTGTATTTTAAGATGGGTTTACGGTCAGAGCGATTGTGTCACTGCGTACAGGCGGCAGGCGGCGTTTCTGTCATTTGCTTGGAAGCCTTCTATTACAAATGAGATAAACTTACACTTAAAAAGTTAACTTATTTTTGCCCTAACTGGTGTGGCTCAGTGGATAGAGCATTGGCCTGCGGACTGAAGGGTCTCGGGTTCGATTCTGGTCAAGGGCATGTACCATAGTTGTGGGCACATCCCCCATGGGGGACATGCAGGAGGCAGCTGATTGGTGTTTCTCTCTCATCAATGTTTCTAACTCTTCCTCTCCCTTCCTCTCTATAAAAAATCAATAAATATATATTTTTTAAAAAGTTAACTTATTTTGAGGGGAAAGTCAGCACAGCGGGGATTTTAGAAACGTAAATGCACCATTCACCAGAGGGAGAGCCAACCTCTATCCCTCAGAAAGCCTCTCTTCAGGCAGAGAAGAAGCCAAGTGATGTTTACATTATACCAAAACCCACAAGTGAACGGGGGCTTTTTACAAATAAGCCAGGGGGCCATGCTTGGCAAGTAGCATTAAAATGAGAAAAGTTATAAATGATCAGGACAACCTGTGAGCACGCATTTCCTGTAAGCTGAAGACATATTTTGTAAGGAAAGCCTCAGTCATTTGAACCAATTGTGGAGAAGACCAATCTGAGTTAACAAATTATTGAAGCATGGAGACTTCCCAAGTAAACATTTCTTTCAGCTTCGGACAGTGATGACTGGACATGATACCCCTGCTAAATAAATGCTCCCACTCCCTTATCCACAACTCGGAAACCCAAAAGCTCTCCCAACCACTACTTTTAAAATAAATTACTCGGTGATACAAACGAATGGGAGCCTATTTACAGTCTGTAGATAATAGGCCAAGGGTAGAATTCATGCATTTTGTTGCAGAAGTATCAACATTCAGTACTTGATTATAAAGGTCCACTGGAGTGTTGCAGAAAATATGCATTGTGCACCATATTATTGTCTTAAAATCAGGAAAAGTATGAATCCCAAAGTATATTAAGCCCAGGGGTCTGGGATACAGTGGGCCGACATTTACTCTAGTCCTCTGCCGACATTTACTCTAGTCCTATGCTGGGGACAAGGAGATTTGAAGCTATTGCTGAGGATTTTAAGTTCTGCAGTATAAGAGTCACGAATTCATACAGAAGGTTTTGAAAGACCAACTGGGCAGCACATTGCTGAATCACTGGAGAAGACATGACAAGAGAGCAGAGTTCAGAGGGGATGCAGCGCTGGGGCAGCCTTAGTAATGAGGGCCTGGGTGAGAAGGAAAGGAGGGGCAGAGAGGCAGATGGGGAGACAGGGCTGGCTGACTGGGCTGGGAGGCTGGCTAGCTATGCCATGAGCAGGTGGAGTTAAGGAATGACAGTGACTGTGCAGAAATGAGGAGGCCAGGAAGGAGACAGCTGGCTTTAGTGACTAAGCAGAAAATAATTTGTGGTTAGTATAGCAACAAAGGCCCCAGAGTCCTTAGAACACTTCTGTTGGGTGCTTTCAACCATGCCATTAAAATATTATTTCTATCCTTTATGTACCTTGCAAACTTCTTTCCACAGATATTCTGTAATAACAAAAGTATAATATGCTAATTAGACTGGATGTCCTTCCAGAGGACCTTACGGGCAAAAATAGGGCTGAGGGGGAAGCCCGGGTCTCCGGTGCCAGAGGGAAGCTGGTGCCGGCAGCCGGGGAAAGGAAGGCCTACTCTTGCATGAATTTTGTGCATCAGGCCTCTTCTGCAAAGATAAATGTCAGTCCGGAGAATTACCTCAGGTTCCCAATTAGCAGAGACCATAAGTAATGAGATTACATGGGCCTAGTTCCAATCTAAGAAATCCTTTGCAAATGCTGAGAACCAGCATTCATTCAACAGTAGAGATTGGTATATGTTTATATCTCTTCTATCCATGGGATGAGATTCTTTCCAAACTTTGGCGTGAGACCATGGGGCAGGGGCACTGTCCCTCACAGGAGGCTCACTTAAGGCCAGTGAGTGGAGAAGGAAGCAGCCGCGTGAGGGATAGCTAAGTGGGGAGGGTGGGGAGGACCGTGGGCTGTGGAGACATCGAGAATAGCACAGTTAACTAGGCATGTGCCTTCGGCAGATGGTGTCTGAGACATACAGCTGCCACCATGCCAGGGAAACAGAATCGACACAGAGCTGCACGGTGCCTTGGCCTTTGGTGTTGCCACTGTTTTCTCGAATGACTTTCCTGCGAACCAAAGAAGGCTCGAGAGTCCAGACCTAAAGTCTTTACTTGCCATGAATGTCTTAGAGGTAACACCAGAGTCCTTAATAACACGACGATTTAGAAACTGCGTCACCTGCCGGAGCGGCCTGGGGACGGAATACCCTTCAAGCTGTGAACAGATGCTGAGTGCCCCCTGAGTGGTGGTGCTGCGGGTGATGATTTTGCAAAAGAAAGAGGAGAACTCTCCTGTTCTGGGGCAGAGAGAATCACAGGCCGTGTGTAGTTTCGTGCACTTGGTCTAATGCACAGTTATCTCGCTCTGTGGAAGAACCATGTTAGTGAAGAAAGGTTCTGAGTTCCGGTGCTGGTCAGGGTGCGGAGGGCGGTGCTTCTGAGAGGGGAGCAGGAGCCCTGCCCCTGTAGCTGCTTGTGTCTGCTGCGAAGGGAAGAGTGTCTGTCTGAGCACGGCTTTCAAACACTGTGACGTTTGAAGTCCCAGTCTGTTTGCCCTGCTTTAAGCCAAAACACAATAACACAGCCCGTGCGGGTGTGAAGGGAAATGTGGGGCTCCGTGGAATTCTCTCACAGCATTCGGAGTCACTGGCGCTTCTGTTTGTTATTTCGGATGGGGCTCAGAGTGAGTGTAGAGCATATCAGCAATTAGAGGTGTAAATCCCGACTCCCGTTATTTGCTAACTTCTTTTAAAAGCCCTCTTTCCATGGTTGTTGTTTATAATATACAAGCAGAGAGCAAAGAACATGGGGAAATTTTAGATCCCTTTAGGACCTGAGATACCAAGCAGGATCTGATGTCAAATGAAAAAGCTGCTTTGGGCCGAAGCCAGTTTGGCTCAGTGGGTAGAGCGTCGGTCTGCAGACTGAAAGGTCCCAGGTTCGACTACGGCCAAGGGCATGTACATTGGTTGCCGGCACATCCTCGTGGGGGGTGTGCAAGAGGCAGCTGGTTGATGTTTCTCATCAACGATTCTAGCGCTCTATCTCTCTCCCTTCCTCTCTGTAAAAAAATCAATATAATATATGAAAGAAAGAAGAAAGAAAGAAAGAAAGAAAGAAAGAAAGAAAGAAAGAAAGAAAGAAAGAAAGCAAGCAAGCAAGCAAGCAAGCTGCTTTGGCATGGTCTGCCTGTCCCCAGGCCAATTCTTGATCCATTGTCCTCTCTCTATTTGCCCATCAATCTAATAGGAGTGGTACCATGTCCTACACTTTTCTGAAATCTAAATAAATGATGCCTGGAATTAGAGTGCCAGCTGCAACTAACCCAGCCTGCCATGCTACTGTCTAGATATGA